ACAAAAAAGGAAAAAAGATCTTGCCTATTTCAAGTGGGTAAATAAACTTAGAGAAGGTGATGATAATGTTTATCAGCTCAAACTGTGGAGGTTAATTTGGTTGCTGTGGCTAAGAGCCAAACAAGGAACGAAACAAAGACAAGAATATTAAATCCTAATTATATGTTGTGTGATCAAAATTAATACGCAAATCACTACGTGATACTCAGATGTTTGAGATTTAATTTGTTGGTAACTTGACCTCAATGAATTCTTGTGAAACAAAGACAATTGACGTACAAGGGAGGGAATTAAGCATTCAGTTAGCTTGTTTCCCAGAGTTTGATGCCTGGGAGCTAGGAGTTCAATTGACGTATAGGGAAGCATCATTTAGCTTGAAACAACATAATAAAATAGAGAAAACTCATACGTACAAGAGATGAGAGTTACTCGTATGGGGCTTAATTACTCGTAGATATAAACTATTAAAATCTACTACGACTAAGTTGAGAGGACTAGCTACTCTCATTAAGTTACAAACATTACTTCTAATCAGTAGGAAAAGATCGACTACCATTTTCTTCTTAATTCTTTGATTTATTTCTTGCATTGTCTAATTCTAAATTGAAAAGTTTTAAATCAATTCGACCAAGATGGACACGGATTATTTATGAGTTCTTTGTTTATATATGTTTCGAGTTTAAAGTCATTTTAATCCATTTTTCCTATGATATTATCTTACAGAAGCAATGGGATGATCAGGATTATGGAATTATGAGAATGCTATGTGGAAGACATAATTAAGAATCATAAATATAGGTGTGCTCTTTCAAATACTTTAAACTTTTAGATGAGATTGTCACATAGTTCAACGAATTAATCATTTACCCTGTATAATCCCGGCCGCTCTTCAGTACCCTCGAGGTTAGACACACTCGGCCAAATTCATGGCTATAGGATTTTGTAGTTCAACTACTTAACTAGTGTAGGTAGGCCATCAACCATCAATAGATAATTAATGATTATGTAGTACTGTAACAAAATTGTTGTGAAATATGTTCTGCATTTCCTAACCTCTACAATTAACGCAAACATCGGAAAGAGAGAGAGAGAGAGAGGTGGGATTGGTCCATAGCCAAATAATTTTATGTATTGGAATTTGGATATTTACCTAGCTAATTCTTCATGTTATAAAACCTGAATGAAGAAAAAAAAAAGATTTGCTTTTAAGTATAATTGTAGAATCCTTTAAGAATATCAAGAAAAATAAAGAAGAGCTCTTTTTTTTTTTTCTTGATGGTGTTCGATAAAGGACCCTCTTATTCTCATGCCTTGCAACCCTGGTATGATCAATATCCAGCCGACCTTTGTTTGTTCTCACGAGTTTAAATTTGAAAATTAAAATGCCGGTTTTAGTTGTAATATTTCATTATAATTGAATAGTTAATATTCAAATAATAAGAAAAAATTTCCATTTTTGTACTATAAATTCATAAAGATTACTGAGGTATATTATGGTAAGAAAAAAAAATTATTTGTTTGATACATAATTAATTTGTTGGATGGTGAATTTCTTTCTATGCACTACTCTGTGAGTAACTGCATTATCCAACTTGTCAGTCACAAGGAATGTGTGATCGACCTTTCAGCATATGCATATCCAATGATTGATTAGAAACAGTTGATTTGGCTCCCCAAGCTGTTCCCTAATGTGAAGCTATTGCTGTTACAAGTATGGTTATCAATATGAAATTGTTATTCTATTTTTATTTAATTTTAAACTATTCTTTTCATACAACATTCCCGGTGTAATCCTACATAGTGGGGGTCTGGAGAGTATAATGTGGACATAGAGACATTATTTCTAATACATCATTGGTTAAACAAAGAATAAGCACAAAGAAGAACGGCCAGAAATATGTGTAAGCCTATACATGCATTTTTATGACCATTCTCGAGCTAGTCGGGGTCATTCTATGGATCCACATTGTTCATCTTAAATGGTTGCAGTCGATCACAACTCTTCTTCTTTATCCGAGATTAAATTGCGGGTAATATCAATATATTCGATCCACTGTACTTATTTATAATCATCTTAAAGTTAATGACCAAATTTCAAGAAAAATTGGCAACTATATATATATATATATATATATATTCTCTTGTACTCTAATTTGAATAAGCCAATGATGAAAATGAGCAGCAAGTTAGGCCTACAAATTCATACATCAACTTTCCATGATCTCACTTTCAACGGCGATAAACTTGCTCTTCATATGGGATCTGATGACCCCCGGGGATGTCTCTCCTGCCAATTAATTAGGACTAACCAAATTAAACATTTTAATTGCTATTGTGGAGGCCAAATGTAACCATAAATTTGCAGTATTATGTACATAACTTAATAATTGGGCGAATAAATTTTGAATTTTAAGTTTGTGGGCGTTGTGCACATGACTTTTACAAATTATGAGGGTGGATTTAGTATAGTGTTTAATTTACTCGAAAATTTCATAAACTTTTGGGATATTCACAAAGAGATTGAGACATCAAATTATGTCTTTTTCAGGTATGAAATGATCCAAAGACGTCTTCTTCCTCAAGATCAATTTAGAACTTCTTCACAATCAAATACTTTAAGAAAATTCACATAAATCTTTAGGAGGTCTGGATCATTCTACTTTCGACAAGTACGCTGCTTAAATCCTCGAATCACGAAAAAACAATCTAGAGAAAAAAAATCATAAGAACAAACAAAATTGTACTCATCATGTATTAGTAAATTCTTTTCTCGTTACATTTGTTTTGTGAATGCAGTTTATTTATTTTTTATGTCAAAAATCTGTTGCAAACAGTATTACTATAAATATAAGTTCTAAGAAAACAACTTAAGTATTCTTCTCCACCCATATAAACACACAAATTAGTGGTTGTCCCTTCTGCCTAAATATATATTTGGGAAAGATAATGCCATGTCTGCATAAATATCAGTGATTCACTATCAGTTGAAAGTCAATTAGTTGGACTTTCTAGTTCGCATGGAGGAAATTACTGAATAGTGGGCCCCTGGACTCCACTGTCATTAGAATGCTAAACAAAATGTTACTCCCAACTAACAATATCTCCAGAAAATATCACTATTTGCGTGAATGTATAATGTTCTAAATCTTTTTTTTATCTTTATTTTAATTTCTAGCCTAATGCATTTTGTAGTGAAAGTTTGATCATATGGCCTATGGGCGGTAATTTTATGTTCTGGCATCTAAAACAAGTACAGACTATGTGCGCATATGTAAAATGTTCTCATTCTATAATCCAGGGTAACAGGGAGATTGATGATGAGGTCTCCCACCGTATCGGTGCAGAGTGGATGAAATGGAGGCTCGTATCTGGTGTTTTGTGTGATAAGAATGTGCCACCAAGACTCTAAGGGTAAGTTTTACAGAGTGGTGGTTAGACCTACTATGTTGTATGGGGCTGAGTGTTGGCCAGTCAAGAATTCCCATGTTCAGAGGATGAAAGTAGCAGAAATGAGGATGCCGAGATGGATGTTTTTTGGCATACCAGGAGAGATAAGATTAGGAACGAAGTTATTTGGGACAAAATGGGAGTGGCTCCCGTGGAGGACAAGATGAGGGAGTTGAGGTTAAGATGGTTCGGGCACGTGCAGAGGAGGAGTACAGATGCCCCTGTTAGGAGGTGTGAGAGGCTGGCCGTGGCGGGTCTGAGAAGGGGTAGAGGAAGGCCGAAGAAGTATTGGGGAGAGGTGATTAGGCAAGATGTGGCGCTACTTCAGCTCACTGAGGATATGATTCAGGATAGAAGGGTGTGGAGGTCGAAGATTAGGGTAGTTGGCTAGTAGGTAGTCGAGAGTTCCTCGTTCTTTTTTAGTAGTATTAGTAGCTCCCTTGTTTTTTTCGTTCGCTCAGTATATCGTATGTTACAGTTTGCTATTGTTTGATGCTATTCTCTGTTACTGATTTCGTTGTCGGTGTTGTTGTTGTTGTTGTTATAGTTGTCTTTCTCCCCTTTTCCTAATCGTCCTTCGTCCCTCTATATTTTCTTTCTTCTTCCTCTTTCTCCTTCGTCTTCTTCCTTTCTCTCTTTCCACCTTTTCTTGAGCCAAAGGTCTATTGGAAACAGTCTCTCTACCTCGCCAAGTAGGGGTAAGGTCTGGGTACACACTACCCTCCCAGACCCCACTTGTGGGGTTATACTGGGTATGTTAGTGTTGTTGTTGTTGATAAGAAGTACGTTACCATTTTTCTCAAGTTAATTACTAGTATACTTATTATAGAAATTTAAATGTAATTACTCCCTCCGTTTACTTTTACTTGGCATGTATGCTAAAAATAGATTTTCATTTTTACTTGTCACTTTACTATATTAAGAGAAGACAAATTTTTTTTCCTGTTATATCCACAGTATTTATTACTCATTTCAAATTATTTTGTCAAATCCAATAAAATATGCATCAATTAATATGGGTATCATGGTAAATTATGTACTTTATTATTATTATTATTTCTTAAGGGGTGTGAAAAATCAAAACGTGTCTAAGTAAAGTGAATAGATGGACTACTTCATAACTGAATTAATCGTATAAATATATTTTTACGTGGCATAAAAATTAGATTATAGAAAATAAAAGGCTCTCTACTTGATGGAAAATATGGAATAACAATTGTTGGGGGATAAAACAGAAAAAGAAAGGTGGAGAATGGGATGATGTGGTATATATGTTGGTCAGGGGAAAATCGCAACAAAGCAAAAGTACTCAAATACTTTAGGAGATTATGAGTGGTCCCCACTGACCTTGAGTTTCAGTAACAAACTTTGCTTTGCTATGAGGAAATAGTACTACTGCTTTATATATATATATATATATATATATTCAGTTTTTAACCCAAAACCAACCAACCAACCTTTTATTTGCCAATCTCACAACAGCATATCCCTCTCTCTTACCCTTTCCAGTAGTCTTTTCTCAAACTTCTTCTTTTCCTTTTTGTTTGTTCTGTTTCATCTTTTCTTGTTAATATTATGGAACTGTTCAACAGCTTCCCTTGTTTTATCTGATGAAGTTGAGCTACTTTCTTGATTCAAAAGACTCAAACTTTTAGTACAAACTGGTCCTAATTGTACCAAAAGTTTAGGTAAAGTTACTAGTATCTTTTTCTCAGAGCTATGAAGTTTTCCTGAAAATGGTATTACTGCTTTTTATGTCCTTTTTCTCAGGTCTGTAGGAAAAGTACAACAAGAAACCAAGAAAATCATAATTGAGGTGAATCCAAAAAACAAATAAAATGTATGTAGAAAGTGATTGTTTTGATCCTGCTGCCAGTGTGCAACATGAAGATGTTTTTGCCATAGGAGAAAACACATATCAACAAGATGCTGCAGTTGTGGCTGCAGCAGCCTTAGAAATGCAACTTCAGCAGCAACTGAATCTTGAGATGGAACAGTGTTACAATACTACTCATAACAACAACAACAGCATGCAAGAATTGGTAAATGAACACAATAATCAAGGGTTATCTTGTGATCAAACAAATTGGGGAGAAATGAGTTTTCCACCATACCAAAATCAAGAAGATAATAATAACTTTCAACATGCTGCTCATGATATACAAAATGGTCATGATCAGCAGCAGCCATATCTCCCAACCCCTGATCTTCTCAACATGTTTCCTTTGCCTAGATCATCAATTTCCTTCACAAATACTAATACAAATCAAGCTTCAAATTTATTAACTTCACTAGGCTTACTAGGTGACATTAATATTCCAGCAACAGCAGATGGTGCATCAAATTCAAGTGCAGTCTATGATCCTTCTTTACTTCCATTAAATCTACCCCCACAACCTCCTTTACTGAGAGAATTATTCCACTCTTTGCCACATGGCTATGGCTTGAGAAACTTAAGAAATACTACTTCTTTCTTTAATGGGTTGGAGGAGAGAGATCAGTTGACTGGTGCTTTGTATCAAGATGGAGAAGAAAGGCCTTTTGACAATGGGATCTTTGAGTTTTCTGCTGATATGAATGGTATTGCTAAAAATAGAGATATTGGTAAAGATACAAAACATTTTGCTACTGAGAGACAGAGGAGGGTGCATTTGAATGACAAGTACAAAGCTTTGAGGAGTATGGTGCCAAATCCTAGCAAGGTATAAGCTCACTCTTAATTTTCTGCTTTAAAATTGCACATCTTTATATTTAATATGATGGCCTATTGATACCCCTACTTTTATTTTATTTGAAATTGTAAAAACAAGAATGATAGAGCATCAATTGTGAAGGATGCTATTGAGTACATCAATGAGCTAAAAAGGGAAGTGCATGATTTAGAACTTATGGTGGAGAAGAAGAGATGTAACAGAGACAGGATTAAGAGGCAAAAGACAAAAGAAGGTGGGAATTCAATGGATGGTAGTAATGCAAAGCAAATGGATGAAGTGGACCAATCTTACAATGGAAATTCATTAAGGAGTTCATGGCTGCAGAGGAGGTCCAAGAATACTGAAGTTGATGTTCGCGTTGTAGACGATGAAGTTACTATCAAACTTGTTCAACAAAAGAGAATCAATTGCCTTCTTTTTGCATCTAAGGTTCTTGATGACCTTCAACTGGATCTTCACCATGTTGCTGGTGGACTTATTGGTGATTACTACAGCTTTCTGTTCAACTCCAAGGTTGTTTTTAGTTTACATTTGTGGTTTGATTTGATATCTCAAGTTATCCATTCTGATATTATATTGCCGTGAAAGCAGCCTCCTGTAGAAATGCAGGTAAGGCTGCTTACAATAGATTCTTGTGGTTCGGCCCTTCCTCGGACCCTGCGCATAGCGGGAGTTTAGTGCAGCGGGCTGCCCCTTATATTCAATATCTCCTTATTGTTTTTGTCTAAACATGCAGATTTGTGAAGGATCTACAGTGTATGCAAGTGCAATAGCCAAGAAGCTCATTGAGGTTGTGGACATACAGTATGCAGCAATCGCACCAACTAATAGCTATTAATTAGTTCAGCTCTTTCATATGGTAAACCTTCTTCTTTCCTGTCTGATCTAAAGAAGCTACTGTTTCTTTTCTTAACTAGAAACACCACTACTTGTGGGCTGATTTTATTAAGATTTAAGAGGAAAACAAAGTACAATGAATATTTAAAGTTGCTACTACTTGGTATAGAAGGAGAACTTCGGAGCAACGGTAAAGTTGTGACCTATAGATTATTACGGGTTCGAGCCGTAGAAGCAGAAACTAATGCTTGCATTAGAGTAGGCTGTCTACATCACACTCCTTGGGTGCGGCCTTTCCCCAGACCCTACGTGAACGCGGGATATGTATGCTACCGTACTACTCCTACTTGGTATAGATGAACAATAATTGAGCATCAAAAACAATGGATGTCTCAGTGTCTTCTTCCAGTTTCAAGAATTTACATTAGTGGGGTCATGGTATAATGAAGAATGACAAAGACAATTCAAAGAATGAGTCAAGTGAAGATTTAAGAGCTTTCAGTTTCTAAATTTGGGCATGTTTGCTGAAGTACATGCAGAAAAGCAGTTGGAGCTTGGAAGTATATGCACCCTACTTCTTCTTTATTTAATAAGTATTAAAACTTTTATTAGGCATTTAGAAAGTGTCAGAAGGCTTCTTTTTGTCCACTTTTGCAAAAAGGTCTTATTTTCCTCAATTGCTGGACCACTTGTTGTTTGATCCTGATGATACTAAAGTTTGTACAAAGAAATGGTATACCTTGTTTTGTCTCTTAGTTCTTCTTTCTTCATATTTTCTTCTTTGATGCATGTTTTATCTTGAATTTTCTCACCTCTGATTTCTGACTGTCACCTCCTATTTCTTGGATGTGTCTATTGCAGATTTCTAGAGGGACTTAGAGACATCATTAATAAAGATCCAGGAGTTTCAGGTTACACAAATTGGCGCGCTGATCGGCCAGTGGATGATAGTGTTAGTGTTCTTTAGGAGGAATATTAACTTAGTTGAATCCATGGAAATGAAATGATCAGGATTAATTACTGGCTAACTCAAAGTCTGACACTTATTAATTTCTTAATAACTTTGGCAACATTATTTGCTCGGTTTATCTCTGAGGATTTCTGCAGTTAGTGTTACTGTAATACAAAGTACAAACTCCTACACGTACAATAGCATATCTCCATGGAATTCTGTTATCTTTGCACACACAATTTCTGTTTGTATTTGACATACATATACTGTTAGTGTAAAGAACTTTTACACATTAAGTCTGTTTTAACGTTTCTACTTCTATCAATGTATAGAGGTTAAACTCTAATCGTTCAATTTAGATGAAACAATGAGCAAGAGCGCCAACGCCATGATCCTCACACTTACCACTCTAAATCAACAACAACTACCCAGTAAAATCCCACATAGTGGGGTCTGGGGAGGGTAACGTGTACGCTGACCTTACCCCTGTCTCGATAGGGGCAAAGAGGCCGTTTCCGATAAACCCGAAAATAAAAACAAAATAAAAAAAAAAAAAAAAACGTTTCCTCACCATCAAATGATAATGATGTTTTTATCATATTGATAATGGAAGATCATGTGGTTCAGAAAACAAAAAAAGTGAAGTCAAAGTGTAATCAAGACCTTTACCACATTTGAGAGAGACAAGGGTACAAGACGGTATGCAGCTTCCCTGAAAAACTTCTATTATTACAAAAGCTGCAGAAGGTCTGTTTGTCTATATTATACAGTTTACAGTTCTGAAAAAAACAAAAAAAAACATATGCAGTTCTTATTTACTTGTCTACATAGTAGGAGTATTAGTTTTGCTGGTTTTTACCAGTTATTATTAGGGTTTTCCATTTGACACTAAAAGACAAGGCTTGAACCATGTTTAAAATTGAACTGGTCAAACTCCAAACATAAACTAAATATTTAATTATATAAGCCAAAAAAGTTGATCCTAGTATTTTTATATGTTATTAGCTTATATGGAAATCTACTTCTAACCAATAAATTACAATAATATCTCCATTTTGTCCTTGATCCTCCAATGTAATAGAATTTTCTTTTTATACTATATCAAAATATATACATATATGAGACTTGGGAGTATATGTGGTTAGAGACAAACCCAACTTCTTAATATGAAGATTAAAATAATGACTTTATAATATAACCTAAACAAGTAAAATTACCTCATTAGTGCAATAATTTTCAACATCATAATGTGCATAGTAACTTTTCTTTGCACCAGGAAATTAAACATTTCAGTATTTTGATATGATCACCATTTGGACATGTATCAAATATGAGAATAATGCTTAGAATATATATACTCAACAAAATATTTATCTGTTCACCACCAAAAAAAAAAAAAAAAAATTAATGTAATTATCAACGTAACCAGGACCACTTAAAGAGAAGATCAGGACCAACTGTACTTACTAAAAGATCAAAAATATGTACTCTTCTTACTACTATTTTCTTTTGGAATTTTAATGGTTAGTTGCAAATCAAGGTGTAGAAACTGCAACTAATGAGTAGGGAGAAATATCATCAGTGGGCCCCTCTCTAATATTTGGAATCTCAGTAACAAACTAACCCCAGCTGTCCCTAAATGAAGAACTGAAAAAGCCATTAAATAGAGTACTATAGTGGTTTCCTTTCTTTCCCTTATAAGGCCTATCACTACTTTGACGTATTTCCTTCTTCTTTTTGAACTTTTCTTCCCCCAAAAGAATTGCTCCATTCTTGATTTTTCTGCTCCAGTCAGCTTGAAGTTTGCTGTTAGGTAGCTAACTTTAACTGTTTTCAAGAACCAAAAGTAGTACTGTAGTTTTTAGTGATTGAGCAATGTATGCAGAAAGTTTATCTTTTGATCCTACTTCTCACCAAGATGAAGGGATAGAAGAAAAGGGTTTGCTTCAAAATCATTCAACAACTTGTGCTACTAACTTTTCCATGGGAGTAGAACTACAGCAGCAGCAGCAGCTGAATCTTGAAATGGTAAAGTTTCATTCTACACTAAATACCAATATTGTCCCAACTGAAAATAACTTGATTCAGGAATTTGAGCATGAGCATAATAATAACACAGTGTTATCTTATGGTCAAGCAAATTGGGAAGAAATGGGTTTTAATCCTTATAACCATCAACAAGGCCATGAACAGCACCAAATTAGTAATTTCCCCATTTCAACATTGATCACTAATAATCCATCAAATACATCACTAGGTTATTGGGTGGGTTTTCCAAGAACAGAATTAGCCTCAACTTCAACTAATCTTTTTTATGATCCACAACTGAATATGCCTGTGAATCTCTGTACCCCACAACCTACTTTGTTCAAAGAGTTGTTTCAGCTTTCTCCACATGGCTCCTATGGCTTAGGAAGCTCAGGGACTGGCTCTTTTTTTAGTCATGGAGTTGCTGAGGAAGAGGTAACTGGTGCTTTATACCATGATGCTGGGAGTTTTGATATCAATTCTGCAGCTAAAAAGAAGGAAGGTAAGGATATTAAGCATCATACCAGTGAGAAACAAAGGAGAGTTCATTTCAGTGACAAGTTCCAAGCATTGAGAGCTTTGATCCCAAATCCCTCAAAGGTATATGTATATATATATATATATATATATATATATATATATATATTTATTCACATTACAATTTCTGCTACCTAAAATGGTCCTTAATTTTCTGTTTGCTGTTGATATCCTTTTTTTCATGACAAGATATTTATTTTACGGACACAGATCTGTAGACAATTACCAATGAGCCTTTTAACAACAAATCGTAATTTGTTATCTTATTTACCAGCTATTTTTTGTTGGTAAAATTTCATTTTTTTTTTTACCGAGGACATGTGTGGAAGTCGAGAATTAGGTTTGAATGTTGACAAGTAATTGTGAGAGTTTCTCCTAGGCTTACCAATAGTACTAGTATTTTCTTATTTCTGGTTCTTTATCATTTTCTAGTTCTTTATCATTACATGTTGTGTCATTCGCTTCCGTTACTCTATTATATAACTTATTGTTACTATTGCTTGTTGCTTTATTTTCTCTGTTCCTTGAGTCGGGGGTCTATCGAAAACAACCTCCCTACCTTCACAAGGTAGCAGTAAGGTTTGTGTACACATTTCCCTTCCCAAACCCCACGTGTGGAATTACAGTGGGTTTGTTGTTGGTTTATCTTGTTGATCTATCTTTGCTGTTATATAAGTCTTATGATTTTGGCTATTCAAGAATGACATATAGAGCATAAACTGTGTTGTTATAACAAAATTTTGGACTAAAGAAAAAGGATAACTTGTTTAGGGATTTAATAGGGTTTGTTTTGTTAAATTGACATAATTTTTTGTGAATACAAGAATGATAGAGCAACAATTATTGCGGATGCTATTGGCTACATCGATATGCTGAAATCAAAAGTAAATGAGCTAAAGAATGAAGTAGAAAAGAAAGAGAGGGTGAAAAGGCAAAGAACAGAAGATGATGGTTCATGTGGTTTCAATACTGTAATGGCCGAAGCTGCTGAGAATAATGTGAACATAAGGAGTTCATGGCTTCAAAAGAAATCAAAGAACACTGAAGTTGATGTTAGAATTATGGATGATGAAGTGACTGTTAAACTTGTCCAACATCATAAGAGAATGAATTGTCTTCTCTTTGTTTCAAAAGCTTTTGATGAGTTTCAGCTGGATCTTCATCATGTTTCTGGAGGATTGATTGGTGATCACTATAGCTACCTTTTCAACTCCAAGGTACTTAATTCTTCTTCCTTCTATACGTTATGTAGAGTTCAAAATACGTGTGCGATTATAATTTTTCTATATGTATAGATAGTCTGATCACAAAATATGGATTGAATTGAACCTGCAGAACTCGCCCTAAATCTGTAACTAATTTTGAAAAATGTATGCAGATTTGTGAAGGTTCAACAGTGTATGCAAGTGCAATAGCTAACAAGGTTATTGAAGTTTTGGACAAGGAATATTCAGCCATTGTACCAAGTTGTAACCATTAATTAATTAGTTGGAGTTCTTTGGTCTTGAAAAATATAGCCTTAATTCCTATTCCATGCATCCAACGATTATTTCTGCTTTGTGATACATTCTTGTGGGCATAGAATGGTATATAACACTATATGTGAGTTTTTGAAAACTAGTTGGACTATGTGATCGATATTAATTTACATTGAAAAGATTTATATGGCTAGAATTTATGATCTAATTGCATTACTGAGTCGGAACCAAATTTTATTTTATTTTATTAAATTTTCATTCTTTTGTCTTATGGGTTAAAGCTATTAGTAATAGTAGGAGTCGATCTAACAGAAAACTTTCAGCAGGGTAAATACTAATATGATTTCTAATAGTGAATTTTCAAGACTAGTGTTTTATTCTACCATTGATGATATATAAATAGATCAAAAAGAGTGCAATAGCATATTTAATTTCCATTTCCATGATTTTTTGCTCTCTTTTCCAAGTATTTCCTACTCTTTTTCCTTTTCATCACCCCATTCTCAGTGCTATACTCCTTACCTAACACATTTCCTAATTTACTATTGTGTAGCCCAAAAGGAAACCAATTCAAAAGCACCAAATTTCCTTGTTTGACTTCGATATACATTTGTTCTCACTTCAGCAAAATCCTTTTACTTTTATATCTTTATTATATTAAAAAAGAAGCTTTATACTATTTTCCTTTTGGATCTCTTTTGGTCAACGCGAGTTCACCCGTTGACCATGATTCTCCACTTCCCACTGTTACTCATTTTTGGTGTAACATTAAATAAATAAAAGTAAAATTGAAAAAGAAAAGAGAGATAATTAAATCTTCCATGAAAACGGACTAATCTCCGTTTGGTCGGATGTCGATGTACAACATTCTTTAACAAAATCTTGTATAGAAATAATATTACTGGATTATTTCCTTATATTTTTTGTCAGATGTAAAATATATTATTGTGCTTGCACAATATATACATTAACTTACGTGCATCTTGTATTTGAACCAAACATGTATATATGATTTGCTTATAAATTTGTCCAGAAACAAATTAAAATCAAACGTTATCACTGTTTGTCTTCATTTTTATGAAACTATTCCTTCCGATAAGTTATTCAAGTGTTTGTGTGAAATGATAAAATAGTTAACATTACTCATTTCAAACTAGTTGTTGTCCAAGCTAGTCCCTTCAAGTAATGACTCTTACGTCATCCAAATGGTTTGTATGAATGACGGAATGATTAACATTACTCATTTTAAACTCTTCCATAGTGATATAATATTTTTTCAAAAAAATAATACTAGAATACCGGCCATAAAAAAAAATAAAAAGATCCTTCTATTAACCAACGTTCAATGATGTATTTTCACCTTAACTTTTAACTCATATGACTTACTTCAATTATTCCATGCTATATGACACTATTAAAAAAATGAGAATGCTCTATATTTAGTCAACTAATTTTAAATTTCCATTTTATAATGATATGATAATATAGCCGCATAAATTTCAAAATATTTAAGACTACAAACTCCTGTAAGTCTTTCTTTATTTCTTTAACTCCATTGCTAACACCTTTAAGCGTAAATAAAAGGCATACATTAATAATTTAATATGATGCAAACATCTGATGCTGCTAAAATTTTTTCAAACAGTTGCCTTTCATTTTTTTTCAAAAATAGTTTCGTCTACGAGGATAATTGCCAAGCTGGGGAATAAATCAGAGATGATCTCATCTGAAAGGGAAGTCATCGCCACTGATTCGCTGCGGCAACTATTTTCACATACCTTGAAAAAGACATGTACAACATTTGGAAAATGACGTAAATTATTTTTAAAAAAAAAAAAAAGAATTTTCTTGCATAAACTACAGAAAAATAAAATATGGGAATTCAAGCTTTGTTATAAGGTTTTTTTAAAATTTCTTGAGGATATCCCGATGTCCAACCACACGTAACCTTCGAGATAAACAATATTTAAGACCTATATTTATACACATTTTTACCCAATTAAGTTCTAGAAAGCAGGCTGCTATTCTCTATTGAAGGTTTTGTAATCAGATATTATTTAATACTATTATTTGGAGTCGTAATACGTTAGAATTGATCAACTTTGTGACAGCTACTGCATTGACAACCAAGTTGACAAAGTTGTTTAATTCGTAATTTTTTTAGAAGTTCTTTATGTAGAAAACCTTTCTTTTTTTTCTAATGTGAAAAAGGTTTAAATTTTGTTTATTTGGGGATGTCCACATCATAAAATCCATTAAGAGGAAAAGTGACGTCTACTTAATTATCTTTCTTTTCCTTGTTTTCTTTAATTGAAATTTGATACAAGTATATATTGTTTCCCCACCATGAAGGAAACTACGTAAGAATTAGTGCAAAATTACTAGATTAAGGATATTTTGATGATAAGGTTTCAACTTAGTTGCTAAGAGGAGCTCATACGATCTCACACAAATCGCTTTATTATTCCTTCCTTGCTTTTTCCTTTAATATAACTAGCAGTCGTACCCGCGCGATGCGCGGTCACTATTAAAAAATATTAATCAAATTAAATTATGATAGGGCTTGTTTGATCCTATTAGATTGTATTGCTTTAATAAAATTCAATTGTCATCTTACTTGTCAATATGATATACCCAATAATGAAATCTCTATTAAATCAAAGGTACTTATATAGTTAGTGAATAACTTTTTTGTTCTATATTTTTCTTTATTATATTAGCCATTGTTTAGTATTCGCTTTCTTTTTGTAATATATGAGAAGATATATAATTTATTACTGATGAAATATTTTTTTGTTTTAAATTTTATTATGTTGTTTTTAATAATATACATACATACAATATATATATATATATATATATATATATATATATATATATATATATATATATATATATATATATATANTTATAAGATATCTATATTTATTAATCCAAATAAAGTAACCAATTTATGTATATATATATATATATATATATGGTAGTTTTTTATTTTATTTTATTATTTTCGTTTTTTATATATATTTAAATTCAAAAATAATAATCAATAACTAATTATAAACTAAATAACTAATTATGCCATGTGGCATTTTTTTAGGTTGCCACTTGACTTAAGGAGAGGGCTTTTTCCTCTCCTTTTAATAATATATAGATTACTACCTCTCTCTGCCGGTGTTTGTTCTTGCTTTGTAGCTCATTTTTTGTGCCAAAGATGGGGGAAGATCAGGTCACTCATAAGATCATTATGGGTAAACTTCAATGATAATTAAGCATCGACAAAGGTGTAGCCAGACTTTGAAGTTTATGGATTTCGAACTTGCCACCGAACCCGTTACTAGGTTCGCAATTAAATATCTATACATATTTAATGGATTTTCTACTACAAAAATAAGATTTAAACAAAAGCTATTGGATTCATTTGAACCCGTATGCAAATACTCTACCTCCCCCTTGAGCAATGATAGTGTGTATTTGTCAGGTCAGCAATTGCACTTATTATAGATGATTATATATAATTAATCTTTTAGGTAAAAATTCTGTTATACTATCAATATATATAAAAGTTAAACTCATTCAAAAATCGTTCAAAGGATAATAGGAGATGTGATATAAACCAACAAGGGTTGTAGTGGAGTGGTAAATACTCCTTCATCCTTAACCAGAGGTCTCGGGTTCGAGCCCCTCGGTATGGAGTCGCCTTTGTTAGGAAGTGCTTTACCCCCCAATGTGGGACTTCCCGGCCCGAATCCGGATTTAGTCGGGCCCCAATATAGGTATCGGACACCGGGTGGGAAAAAAAAAAAGGAGATGTGATATAAAGCACAAACATCCCTAGAGATGGAACCAAACAACAAAAGTTAAAGACTAGAGATAGATTAACCTTTAACTGGTCATGAGCTGCTTTTGCATGGATTATTGCCTGCTATACTGTCTCTACAGTAATAGTACAGCCATGCAAATTAGGTTTGACTTAAGTTCAAGAAAGAAAAATAAAACATTGTTAATAACGTAACATATGTTCTCTAGATGATCGCCTATGGACCTACTGTTGAAAGTATCTTTTTTCCATTCACATTAATATCATAATTGAGTTAACTTACTAAATTCTTTTTTATTAGCTCCTTATTAATCCTCTTTTCTACACAAGGAAAAAAACCAGCAACTTTCGTTCTCAGCTCTTCAATGCCGAGTCCATCAATCCCACGTTCAAAATCTGTTCCCTACAACATATCAGAAGCTCAAAATTCTCCTACAAACTCACTTATTATACCTCCTTCAGTAAGATCCTCCAAATCAGCTGACTCATTAAAACCAAAATGGCCTAAAAAAGCAAATGAGCTTATATCAAGAAAGGGTGGCTCATCTTCAAAGAACTCAAATTTAACAGCTGATAATCTCGAGGAATTCAATAAACGAAATGCAATTCAAGAAGAAAAGAGATACTCTGCAAGAAGTCCATATTATAAAGGACTTACTGATTCATCCAAATTGATTAATCGACAGAAGTTATTAGCAGAGTTTAGTAGTTCTGGAAAAGATAGCATATCGGCTTCTTCTGCAAGTTCAAGTTCTAAATCCAGTTTAGCTAGCAAGGTAATGTTGAAGCGCGTGACCATTTCGTCTAAAAGCTTAAACTGTTTAAGAGAGCATATATTTTTAATTACTTAATTATATTATGTCTCAACAGGTACAAGAATGGAGTGCATCTTACTTTGTACGCAAAGGCAAAGAAGAAAGAACATCCTCCTCCTTGAATACTTCTACTGGGAACAAGAACATCCAAGATTCTTCATCAGAGACAAAAGATAAAGGAGTAATCAGAACGACAATCGGAGAAGAACTTGGTATAGATCGGAAAGGAGTTAGAAGAAGTTCAAGAAAAAGCACACACAGACTTTCAAAATCAGATCAGGGGAAGCCTTTGAGGGAGAGAGCACCAGAAATGCAAACAAATATAGTAGTACTACCACCGGCCCCTGCACCACCAATAACATTACCACAAAAATTGTCAATACCATCTCCACCGCCAACTCCATTAATATTTCAAACATCATTGCAAGATGAAGAAATTGAAGCAATACCATTACCAGCTTCACCAACTCAAACTACAGAGGATGAAAAAAATACTACAAAGGAGCAGGATATTACAAGTCCAGAACAGAAAGACAAAAGATTTAAATGGGCTGATAAGTATAGGCCTAACGCTCTTAAAGATTTTCTATGCAATAGAAATACTGCACTTGAACTGAAGGCTCTGGTATATATGAAATTAATCTTGAATAATCCTTTTCTAAATTTTCCTTATTCATAGCAAAATACTAAGAAAAGACACATCTTTTGAATTCTAAAATTTGCAGGCAGAAACAGATGGCAGTAATCGTCATTATATATTTGCAGGACAGCCAGGAGTAGGGAAAAGAACCATGATATTTGCTCTGCTTCACGAAATTTTTGGACATGATAAATTACAGGTATATATAGTGTACATTTAATTGATTCTCTTTAAAGCTACAAAAGTATCAAAAGGTTTAATCCAGAAAATAAGTTAATTTGCCACTTTACTAATAAAAAGCTAGACGTGAGTTGTAAATATCACGAGTTTAACTTCTATGTACTACAAGTGCAAACAAACTTTTCAAGTAATAAGTCACCTTAAAAGTAACTACAAATAACTATGCATGGAAAGTAAGATTAGTAACCAAAAAAAAGAAAAAATAGGTTGGTTACCTGCTAGAACATGTTAAAGTACGCTGATAGTATAAAAAAATTTAACTATGTCAGTGTATGTATGTTAAATCCAAGAATCGCCGATATCGTGTTCTAGATCAGCACTTATCAAATCATCGACTGATGATGGTTTCTTTGCTTTTACAGGCAAGAAAAAAGCGCAAGGTGTTCTACTTAAAGGTATGAAGACCCTTGTATTGTGTTCATAGATTATGCATACAAAGATCTGAAAATGTGTTTCATATATAGAGCCCATTAGATGTCTATTATTGGTGGCATTTGAGCATATTGAAAAAGTTTTACCAGTATACTGCCATAATATAAGTGACATCTTTTATTACTAAAAGGATCTCTGTTTTCCAAGGATCACAGACCGAGCCTCACTAAAGAAAAGTATCAGCAAATTGAAATAAATGGAGTAATTTACAAGTCTTCTAAAGACATAAAAGTCTATACATTTCATGTAACATTCTACTCATTCATGATCACAACGCGGGACAAATGTGCACAAGGCATCAGACGGCAAGTATTCATTTGTATCCCCTGAAAGTATGTCAACATGATAACTAATATTGTAGAAATAATTTTAAGCATTCAACTACAACATCCAATGACAGACTATCTTTCGGTCTAGAATATGACTGTAAAAGCTACAAATATTACTTCAGGTATTTATAATAAGCACATCTCCAGCTTATATATTTAAATGGTTTTAACTTATAACAGTGTAAAATTTAGACTGGTTATAGAAAATTCGACATTATTATCAATGCACGGAAGTTAAAATCTTATTTTTTACATGTCAAAACATAGAAATTTAAATCAAATTAAATCAAGTAGAACAGTGAAAGGACCTTCTCAAAATGCAATGCATTTCAGGGAGAAGCAGTGCCGAGCATCCAAGTAAATGTGATGGAATCAAAGAAACATGTTGAGATCAATCTCGCTGAAACTAAAGGCTATGAGAAACATGTCATCGTAGAACTAATCAATGAGAGAAAGCACAAAGCATCCATCAGATCAGCACCTTGCCATCCTGATGACTGTAAAGGTATTACAAGCTTTTGCAATTTGTAGTACCCAAAAATGGACAAGGAAAACCTTAGAAATGATCACTCACTTCATTTGTAATGTACACAGCTATCATTCTTGGTGAAGCTGACAAGCTATCAACAGATGCTTTGCTATATACCAAATGGATGTTAGAGAGATATACAGGTTGTTATATGGTCTTCTTTTGCTGCAGTGATATCACAAAGCTCCAGCCAATTAAGTCTATTTGTAAGGTTGTTCATCTCCAAAAACCTTCAGATGAAGAGGTGCGTACACATAGTACCAATATGTATTGGATCTAAGCTATATATATTAAGAACATAAAGATTTTTTACACTATCAGTATAATCTAACATGTTATAGTAGGTTACTTAAAATCATATATAATATGCAGCTCTCTCTTTCCTTAACTAACTTGAAAAAAGATTTTCTTGTTGACAGATTGTAGATGTCTTGGAATTCATAGCAAAACAGGAAGGAATCGAACTACCACATAAACTGGCAGCGCAGATTGCTAGTAACTCCAAAAGTAACCTACGTCAAGCAATTCGCTCTTTTGAAGCTACCTGGCGCTTCAAGTAATGTTCGGCTTTTATAGAAAAAGAATTATGTACACAATCCTCTATCAAGATTGACTGTTTACAAACAGCTTATTCTTTTCTATTGTCCACTCACTAACTATAGCAAATATATAATTATCAGCACTTGCTTGACTGAGAATCAAGAAATCAAGACAGGGTGGGAAGATGACATTGCAGAGATTGCTAAAAACATAATTGAGGAGCAAAGCTCAGAGCAGTGAGTATAACTTCACATCATCAAAAAGTTACTCTCTCGGTTCCATTTATATGACACACTTTCCCTTTTAGTCTGTTTAAAAAAGGATAACACCTTTCTATATTTGGGAAGTCTTTAACTTTAAACTTTCCATGTTACCCTTAATGACATGCTTTTATAGCCATAGAAAGATCATAATATTCTTAAAACCACAAGTTCTAAGGGTGCTTTTAGTATGTGTCAAAATTATTATTATTTTCCTTAAATTTTGTGTCCAGTCAAACATTGTCCTATAACATGAAATTGTTGGAGTACACTACAAAGACATTTCTATGACTATGAGGACATTGTTCACCTCACACTAAGGCTCTTCGACATCCCAATTAAGAGTTCCCGGCACTCATAATACTAAAATCAAGAGTTCATTTCTCTCAGGCTATACGATATCCGTGGGAAACTGCAGAATTTGATAGAGCACAACGTGTCTGCTGAGTTCACCTTTAATGTAAGAGGTTCTTAGTCCTTATAACTATTGCTGGAAAATAACTGAAAGCTTTTCACTAACTCTTATTTCTCATTTTTTTTCTTCGTTTCGTATATGGAAGACTTTGGTAGAAGAGCTAAAGAGTAATTTGGATGACCGATTCCACAAGGAAATTGACACTCTGAAAATGAAGTACAATGTAATGAATTTTACAAATTTCACTATTATATAGTCATTCTATGTTCACCAACACATTAATACAGAAGCAAATAACTAAACTTCTCTTTCTCTTTTTTTCTCATTCAGATAAATTCAAAGGATCTGGAACAGGGAAAAAGTGATAATGATGCAGTGAAAAAGATTGTTCACCAATTTATGAAGGTTGAAGGTAAGATAAGCATTTGATGGAAACTGTATTCATCATTTTTCCTTAAAGAATAAAAAAAAGACAATTCTCTTAATCTTGCACCAAATCTTTCATTAAAGCATTTGTCGCTCCTATGATACTCCTCTACTATAGTCACCATATTTTAATCTTATGTGTTAATTCTTTATTTATCTTGTCATTCTCCTGGACGATTGAGTCTTAGATATCTTAATTATTTGTATCTAGGTACCGTAATCTCGTCTAATCTTACTATATCTTGTACCAATTCATTTCTTCTCAAGCACCTACCAAAAGACATTCTTGTACTCTATCTTAATGTCAACAACATATCATGTGGAGATCCTTCTTCATTTCCCTATAATTTCAATCAATTTTCTTAGCAAAAATATAGTCGTTTGAGGTAGAACTACCAAGCATGAATCCAAATTGCCTCTTTTTACCATCATAATGTACCTAAATCCATGCTCTATCACTATTTTCCAAAGTTCCATCACATGATTTAGTACTCATAAGTTCAAAAACTAAGATAGTCCAACAACTTAATATGGAGTTGTCGAATTGAACGCATTTACTGGGACACACATAAAGTTAGAGGATCACATATATATATATTCACCTATGGTTATACTTTCTTGACACTTTGATTCCCTTTTATCATTACATGCTATACTTGTTTCACCTTGAAGCCATATATATATGGCAATGCAATGGTAATTCAGAAATCAAGTTCATACCACGTTTCTGATTTATGCCACAAAAGTCCAAATGGAAAAAGAGTTGAGTATCAATGTTTCTAAAAGATTTGACTCTTTTTTTTTTACTTTCTTTTTCCCTCTTTTTCACTGCAGAGTTCATAGCTAAATTCATGAGCTGGTATAAGACTTGTGTTCTGAAGAAAGGAAATCACAAGCCCATCCCTCCAAGGGGAATAATTAGTTTGGAAACAAGTCCATTTGAGTGATAAAGAATTTCCCAATCACTTTCTATGACAAACTTGGTTAATAACTCCTCGGTATTTCAGTTGTAAAATAAAGTGGCAATCACACTGAAGTCTGAAGCAGACATTTTATGTTCTTAAGATATAAAATTACGTAAGATAAATAAAAAAAGGCACTCAATAAGTGTATGTTTTCATTGTTCTGGAAAGGGTAGTTCTATGAGTTATTCTCCATCCATTCTAATATTATTTGACACTATTTTCTCATTACAGAAAAAGAATGTCACCTTGTAATTAGCTAGTTTTTGCATGGCAGAAGCTTATTCCCTCGTTGAGAAATCACAGTTGGTGTTGTGTAATCTCATCTCCTCCTTCACTCAATGCCCTCTACATATTTCACCAACCAAATAGCAATTCCATCAACTACTATCAATTGCATTCAATGAATGAAAAACAACTAAAATTATGCACACACGTACCTTTTCTGCTCTGCTGCAACACACGATTAGCTGTAGATTGACGCATTTTATCTGTTTGGAATAACATTTTTTGGTTATTGAGTGGCTTTCTCTTGATTGAAAAGGAAAAAAAAAAAAGTGGCTTTCTCCGTTAAGTAAAGGGTTAGTGTATATCTTGGACTAATTAAAAGAATCCTACCTACTTTCTCAAACTTAAGGACTAATAATGTGTAGAGAGATGTATAAGGGACTAAATTGAACTTAATTCTATGTTTAAGGGACTATTTGAGTTTTTTTTCTCCCTCAGAATCCGCACTTACAATTTGAGCTAGGTAAGAGCAACAATGTAATAGTCTGGCCAAGCCTTTTTTTTTTTTGCCAAAAGTATTTTTTTTTTTCCAAAGTTAAGTTGTTTGACCAAGCTTTTAAAAGGAAAAATATATTTTTGAGTAGAAGCAAAATCAGTTTTTGAGATGCAGAAAAAAATAGCTTCTTCCTAAAAGCACTTTTTTTAAAAATAGTTTTGAGAAAAATACACTTATAAGCACTTTTTAAAAGATTGACCAAACATTAATTACTGCTCAAAAATGCTTTTCAAATTAACTAGTCATATTGTACGCACATTGCGCGTGTATCCATATCAATGAATATAAATTTTTAAAAAATTACATAAATATTATATTATATTCCCTGAATTATAAAATAAAATTAAATGAAAGCCTTTGTGCTTTTAATACTTTTATAGATAGATATTACAACATAAGAAAAATCTATTCAATTTTAAATTTCTAATATTAGCACTCCTTCAAAATTCACATAGAAAATTTAATAGCAAATTTAGGTAATTTTAAAGTCTTAAATATTAAAAAATTAAAAAATAATTTAATTTATAGTAAATTATTAGATCTTTTTGGAATAAAACTTGTTCTACAAACAGCTTTGTGGAATCACATAATTATAATCTTTGTACTTCGTTTGTTTCATATGTCATTCACCTAATTATGCATTATGCTTAACAATACAGAATACCAAATACATTATTTATATACTCTATACGATATTAATACATTATTATTATTATTATTATTATTATTATTATTGTTACTTTTAGTAAAAAAAAATTAGCATTTATTCTTGTATCGTATATACAAATACTATTTTAAGAGCTATTTCAATCCTAGTTTTATTATTATTGATATTTCAGATTTTGAAGATAATAAATTGCAAAATTATTTAAATTCTTAATTGGATATTTCTAATGCTATGTGAATTTTACAAACACTAAAATAAATAGGTGAATGAAACAAAAGCTGAAAATAAAGAACAAAATCCCGTCGTTACGTGAGATCTTTCACCCGTTTCCTTCCAATCTTTCTTTTTTATATTTTTTTCTCTATAATATAATACTCCTAAATCTGAAAGGAGTTTAAAGTAAAAAAACTTTATTAACAAAATAAACCCTTACAAAGTGGACGAAACTTTTCTACTCTGGATTGAAAAGTGCAGGAATTCTAGAATTAAAAATTTAGAAAATAATTAAATGACTACTCCTAAATATTATAGACATAATTAAATAAATACTCATACATATTAGAAAAATAGTTAAATGACTATTCCTAAATATTAGGAAAATAATCTAACGACTATTTTATCCAATGTGAACTATATTTTAAAAGGGTAAAAAAGACGAACGACATTTCGCAAAGGGCCTTCGTGCTTTTAATATAGTATAGATAGATAGATTAGTCAAACACAAACCGTTTCTCACCAAAAGTATGTTTTTAAAAGCACTTTTGAAAATAAGCTATTTTAGAAGCTTATTTGACCCCCCTTATTGATAGTACTGCATTAGAAGAGTTAATTCTAAAACTATATTTAACTCTATTAATATATATGTATAAAGTTCAGCATCTGAAATTTTATTTAACTCTATTTTTATATATATGTATAAGGTTCAACGTTGAAACACTGAGTTGTGTTGAATTTGCAAACTTATTGCTAGATCCATGACTAAATGATTAAGGCTGAAAAGTTGGGGAAAGTGGGAAACATACAAGAAACGGAAGAAATCAGAGAGATATTACTCCCTCCGATCCACAATAAGTGACCAATTTGCTTTTGGCACGCTCATTAAGAAAATACTAAATTCAATACAAAAATACCTAGTATGACTAAACTACCCATAATTAAATATTTAATGTGAGGAGTAAGAAATTTTTTTAGGGATATGTACATAAGGGTAATTTTGTAAAAACAAATTGAATTCTTTCTTGATTATATAAATGGACACTTATTTTGGACCAAATAAAAAAGTAAATTGACCACTTATTGTGGACCGGAGGGAGTAAATGTTATGCAATAAACATACTAACACTTTATGCTGCCCATTTAATTTGACACCATTTGTCTAGACAAAAATTTAAGACATTAATTTTGATTTACGTATTATATTAGTAAAGGGGGAAAACAGTTAAGTCATAGTTGAAAGAAGTTGTAAAAGGCAAAGCCTCGTATCAAACCCCAAATTTGATTAGTATTCAAAGTGTGCATAAAAATCATAACTAGTAGATGCAAAAATGTTAGAACGTTCTCAATATAAAATTATTGAAATTGACAAAAGGCAAAACTACAGGTACAGATATCTGTTTTCATCACTGACAAATTTTCTTCCTTTGACTTGACGTCTAAAAAAACCTCACTGAGTTCATAATACAGAAGCATTACAAGATTTTATAAGTAACTAACACGTAAAAATGATTTCTAAAATAAATGTAAAATGTCTTTGCTGTACAATCAATCCAAATGAGAAAAGTTCACAAAATTCTCCGCTTAAAACTGCTAGACTCTGAAGATGATGCAAAAAAAGACTAATGAACAGCCAACCGCTGCAGATGATCCAAGAAAACCTCAAAACTAACGTCATCCGTGAATATAATATCTCCACCAGGAATAGGAGGGGCATCAGAGTTGTATGTGGCAGAGGGATTCAACTTTGCAAGCATAAAACGGGCCTGTACAATATTACTAGCAATATCAGCACTAGAAAAGATTATTGTATTATACATTTGTTTTTAATGTTATTTTATACTTCTATAAACAAGTAAGAGATGACTTCATGTTGATAATCAATTATGAAAAAGGAAATCTTTCCAGGTGTGAGCCACTTTATGGCAAAGTTTTGATGTCCCCGTTGTAGTCTCCCTATGGACACCAGATCCTTCGCCGAAGAAAGGAGAATGCAATATTTAACTCGAACAAAAGATATATCGTGTAGGTAAAATCAGGCAAAACTCAAAGCTTCGGATGAACTATGCCTATTTCTAAAACAATTGTCCATGAATACTCAACAGACATCAAAAAGTTCTTGATACTTCCAAAAGGTGTTTGTTTCCAGAGCTTTTCTTCTAGAGCTGCTTCAATAAGCAATACAGTCAGCTTGTTTCAACATAAGTGAAACATGAGCAGCTTTTGGGCCAGGTTTCAAAGGAACAAAACAAGTTTAGATAGACGAAAGACAACCTTCTTAAACCAGGTGGTTTATAACAAAATATTCTAAACTAAAAACCCAATCTAAGTGGGCGTTTGGACATAAGAATTGTAAAATTCCAAAAAAAAGTGAAAAAAAATTAAAGTTGTGTTTGGACATGAATATAATTTTGGGTTGTTTTTGAAGTTTTGTGAGTGATTTGAGCGAAAATTTTGAAAAGCAACTTTTTGGAGTTTTTCAAATTTTCGAAAAATTCCAAAATTCATCTTCAAGCGAAAACTGAAAATTCTATGGCCAAACACTGATTTCGAAGAAAAGTTAAAAGAATTCAAAAAAAAGTGAAAAAATTCTTATGTCCAAACGGGCTCTAAACCTTATATTCAGAACATGAATTACAGACAAATATGTCATATCACAAACCCCTTACTGTTTAAAAATTAATTTTCAAATATGCATAAAAGAACTACAGAAACGAAAAATAACAGATCCGCATCTGCTGTAAATGCTGAAATACAGGCACATATATCAAAAGACCTAAGAATATGCTAACTCTTATATGCATAAGGAGGTCTAGATAGAGAACATATTTAATAACCTGAGATCCATATTGATCGCAGATGACCAGACGAGGTACTGGAAATCTTTCGCGAATAATGGCCTCTGCATCTTCTCGAGGAGTTTTTAATAGTTGAGCAAATGCCTGTCAAGAGAGTAAATTTAAACCACCGAAATGACGAGCAAACTCAAATCCAAATCAACGGGAGTTTTACGCATCATGACATAGACAAGAGGACCAGAATCAAAATGGACTCGAGAAATAAGACGAAGTGTAATTTATTTAAAGGAAGCCACGAAGCAAAGTGTAGGTCGCAAAACACAAGGATGTTGAGGGCACCTTTTCCACATATCATTGGTCAATACTTCATTTTGATTTTTGTATCAAACAAAAGAAACAAAAAGTAAAAGCTGGTTTATCGACTTTCCAATATTCAGTCCTTAGCATGACTATCATGAGTCTGATGGTGAAAATAAGACTAGATCGAAAACAAGTGCAACCAGTGTTACATCTATGCAATCATGGTGACTCTTTGAAGTGTCTGCATTTGATGGAATAGAGCAGTAATTGTTACCTTGGAAGATCTGGATCCATGAATCAGCTGAAATTTGAAATCGCTATTTACACACAAGTATATGTGTGTGTGTGAGAGAGAGAGAATTGTGAGTGCACATATGTTACAACAAGC